CTTCTACAGCCCCTGGTAAGTACCAGTCTAACTCTGTCCTTCTAAATCTTTCTCTAACTGTGGCTTTACACAATGGCAACAATCATATCAAGAGGCCAATTAAAAGAAGCCATTTCGAAAAAAGTTATCTAAAAGAATTTTAAAATATTTTTTTAATTATACAAAAATACATGCGAAGCATAGACAAATTAGGACTGCTGAAAAATTATCCAAAACCTTTTTATCTTGTTTCAGATTTTTAAAAATAATCTTATAATGCCAAAAATATAGATTATTTTTTGAAAAACACAAAAGACAGAAATCTAAGCAATCTAGACTGGCCTGTTGCCATGTAAAAATCACTGCATCTATGGTCATAATCTTTATAACCATACATGCCTTAAACTATACATAGCCTTTATAACCATACATACCATAACCATACATACCTTTAAATTCTTCTAGTGATTGTACTGACTTTATGGTGTAATGATGACACCACACACCTCCTGCTCTATGACTTCAGTGACTTCTGGGAACTGGATTTAACTAGATCTTCAGTTTCCCTACTTTCTATCACCCTCAAGGCCACTATACGTTGGAAGCATAGCTATCAGTGAAGAGGTGCAATCTCTGACTGAGCGTTCAAGTGAGCCTAAGTGGGGCTGGGAATTAACCAGCACCTCACACTTGGACTTGGACTTTCACCAGGATCTTAGGAACAGGCTTGGAGGAGGACCACCTCCTACACTTCCTCCACAAGCTGGGCACCTTTGACGGTCCTTATTGTGTTTCATGCTATGATAACCCAGTCTGTCAGAGTCGGCTAGAGTCTTCATAAGACATCCAGGCAGCAGTGGGCAAAGGTGAGAACCAAAGGGCTCTTGGGTTGCAGGCTCATTCTGTTATCACACTTCTTTCCAAACATAGAACTGAAAGCTTTATAAAGTGGGGTAAAAAGGGCTGGGGTAATGATTTGTACGTGTTTTATAAATGAAAAAGTGGAATGTGTGTGTGGACACAGAGAAAGGAAGAGAGAGATGGGGGGGATGAATATATGTTGATAGACATGATTTCGGTAGAAAATACTGATTTAAGTTTTAAGATAAATGTAAAAAAAATGTAAATATAAAGATTAAAAACCAGAGGATATGCCAGGATTTCTTACTCAGAAGATTTCTTTCCCTGTAATTTTCCTTACTCAAGAATATTTTTTCACAAACATTTTAACTATCTTTTATTCATATTAGTATAAATGAATTGGTTTCCATTTCAATTTTTTTTAATTTTTATTTATCAGATTTTTCTCCCCTGGTAATGATAGACTCATGCTTCATACACATTATAAATGTTTTTTTAAACATAAGTAAATGACAGGGAGTGAATCAAAGAATTAAAGGGTTGAACTTATTCCTTGAATTGTCTGGATTCAAATGAACTGTACCTCAAGTATTTCTCCAATAAAATAGAAGTTAGGGAGCATTCAAGTGTCTTAGATAAAAAAGCTATTTTAATTATCAATAATTGTTACTCGATGTGCATTAGATTGTTGAATTGGTTCTCCAGTAAATAAAGGATTGACTTCCAATTTCCTTCAATTTTTAAATGATCAAGATTTAATAGAGGTGAATAATATTCTAGGCTACAAATGCTTCTTGCTTCTTGATCTTAAACCCACACTCCAAACCACTTATGAAATTACTTGATTTATTCATTTAGAAAGGTCAAAGCAGCATACCACAGTCTAACACTCTCCCTAATGTTATATCAAAAACAATCCACTCACAAATAGACAACATAGAATCAGGATATGAATCATGAAGTGGACTTATTCGGAAAATCTGAGAATGATACATCAAATATTTTGCTACTGAAGTTCCTGGTTGAGTGAGTGTTACATTAAGGACAATATGATTGAATTAGTGTCCAGGATTTTTAGAGTAAAGCTATATTGCCCTGAGTTTCAGTCCCAAAGCAGAAGCTAGCAATGATTCAGAGCAAGGGGTCCTTTGAGTGCTTCCTAAGTTCTTGCTGTTATTGCCTGAAGGAGTCCAAAGCAGCTGATGATTGGGCACATAAAGTCAGAATGAACTTACTGCAGAGTCCAGACTGCCTCAGGCCCATGGAATGAGGGGAATTTTGGATTGCCCACATTGGCTAACTGGTTTTGTTTTACATGCAAACTAGAATTTTATTATATGATTTGATGGACTTCCATCTATAATTTAAGTGTTATAATAAATATGTGTGTGTTCATTTCTCTCTATGATCGGATCAACCCAGAAGAAAGTGAGGCCTGTTCTTCGTTAAGGTGCCAGCAATAAAAGAGTTACTTTAAGTGCCTAAAGGAATTTCAGGGATCACTATATGGGGACACAATTATATCTATGAGGTCAGACACTTCAGCTTGATTATCAATACCCAGAATGGGGCATAGCCAAGGGCTCAGTAAATATTTGTTGATTGACACAGAAAAAAAAGAATCAGAAAGGTGGAAAGGAAGAAAAAAACAGGTACTTATTAGGTGAGTGTAACAATGTAGTATCAAAGGGTATACATAGGAAATTAAATACCTGACTCCTTCAACACAGTCATAGTCACCTTTGTGTGCTAGTTCACCATTTTGTACACTTCGGTCACTTGTTTAGAACTTTCACACTTTTTCCGTATCTAGGCAACTCCTGTGTGTTATTTTTTTCTGCAAATGAATCATAAATAAGCCATCTAACCCTTATTAATGTGATCCACTCTTCATGATGTTATGTGCCAGATACTGAGTCAAACCCTCTCTTGAACTTTCTCAAACTTTCATGGGCACCCAAGTCACTTGGGGATAAAGCCAAAAGGAAGATTCCAATACTATCAAGTCTAGGGGAGGTGCCCATGTCTGCATTTCTCACAAGCTCCCAAATGAGGCTGAGAAACACACTTTGAATACCAGGCTTCCACATATATATTCTGATATACACTTAAATTTTTACCCAGCACTGTTTTAAAGCTTATTTTTATATCATGTAAATCATTCATATATTCCATGAGTGGTAAATCTAATGATATGAATACAGACGCTCTGCTGAGATTGAAAATACAATTAAATGTCCTTTGCTTTCAGGGAGTCACTGCCAAGAAGATTATGTAAGAAACCGAGCTAACTTGTGCTATGGGGTATTCCAGAATTCTGTACAGAACAATTTGAGAAACACCTAGGAATCTGTAGAGGGCCATAGAAGAAGCCAGTTTCTAAGCATGACAGAGGGGGAGAAGAAATTTCTCAAGATACCCCAGAACACAGGCCATCTCCCACCTGCCCCATCACTGTGCCCCATAAAACCAAACCCAGCCAAGAGTTATGTGGCTACTCCACTTGCCGATGCATGCCATCTTCCAGAGGACTGGATAAGGAGCATCTTTTGGGAATCACCAGCCTCAGTTGTAAGAAGGCTATATATATTTTTTTTTCAAGTTTATCTTTCTAATACAGCCTCTTCTGATCCTTTTTCCTGGAGGACCATCTTTATTCTGATTAGCATGGGCTTCATAGAGCAGATGCCTGAACAATTCCCTACCTACCCAAAGGCATTCCACCCTTATTTAGAGTCACATCCTTGCCCGCATAATTTCTTGCCAAATGAATTTCAGTTTCCTTCTCTTTCCCAACTTCCTTTCCCATTATCATCAGGTAAGAGGACGATGCACACAGTAGGTCGGGGGAGGGGAGGATGAAGAAGCTCCAGTTCTGTCTGTCACCGACATATGATGTCTTCAGTATCCTTCCTGCTTCCTCTCTGTCTTAGGAGGAGTAGCTCCCCATCAAGGAACCCCTATTCTAATCTCCTCAATCTGAGACTATCCCATGACAGGAGCACTCAGGTTGCCTGTGGAATTAATGTTTCTAACTCATTGACCTTAAAACAAAGTGAACATCCTGGAAGATCCAGGTGGGTTCAATGTAATCAGTCTCCTAAAAAGTGGAAGAGGGAGATTGGAGGAGGTCAGGGTGATGCCATAGAGAAGAGCTACACACACCTTGGGGTGGAGACAGGCACCACAGGCCAAGGACTGCAGGAAGCCTATAGACACCAGGAAAGGGTAGGAAGTGCATTCTTTCCCAGAGCCTGCTTCAGAAGCAAGGCAGCCCTGCTGACCCCTTGATTTTAACCAGCCACAACCGCTGCAGACTTCTAGACACAGAAGTTTTACCTCTTTCTGCTTTGAAGATGCAGCTCTTTCCTTCGTGATCTCTTCATCCGGTTTCTCTCTTTTATCTCTAAAAAATGAATCTTCCCAGATTGCATATTTAGTTCATAGTTCATAGTTGGTTCCCTTTTCCCACTCTACAGGCCCACGCAGAAGTCAGATGTGTCTTCTCTGGCACAGTGTTTCTTCAGAAGCCAAATTGAAATGCATTTCTGAGGTCCATGTCCTCTCCTTCTCCACAGTTCACTCTGCCCCCCACTCTGTTTTACCTGACTCACTTCCCTGATTCACGTTATTTACTTTGTCCTTAAAGGTTTTGAGTGAAGGATCCCTCTGCCAAAACACAAATGTATAATGAGATGTTAGGGTGTAATATTAAAAAGGATTCTTGGGTCACATGGTTTTAGGTTATGCCAAGTTACGCAAAGTTAGATAGGTTGTTATATATCAAGATTTAATAGCCTCTTTTATGCTAATTAACATATATATGTACATAGATCATACACCTCTATACAGTGTATAGCTACATGTAGCATGAGGCATTTCACAAGCTTATATTCCCATAGAACCTTAACTAGTGGAGTATTCTATAGGTTGGGTGTTTCTAGTACACATGTTGAAACATCTTGTTCAATAAACTTTTTCATCTGTTCCCATTCCTGTAACCAGCACCCTGTTGAAATGACCTCCCAAAACTATAAGTGCGGCAAATATTTATAAGGCACTAACTACATGTTTCACACTGTTGTAAGTACTTTCATATGTATAAGGTGATTTACAACCATTACATGATAGTAAGCACTATATTTATCCTTATTTTACAGATGAAGAATGAGCCAGAAAAACTATGTGCTCAAGGCTGCACAGTTAGAAAACTACAGATTTGGACTTTGAACCCCCACCTACCTCTAGCACTCACCTTGCTCTCCAACTGAAGGTGAAAGCACTTTCTCCCAGTGATTGCTGATAATATAACTCAGATGAGATTGAATGCACTGCCCCAGAGATGTAGGAAAAGGTGGAGGATTTCTCAAAAGGGAATTTTATGAGAGACACAAACACTGGAGACATCAAAGCCAACCTCCATGTGCTTCCAAACAGGACGTTGTAAAATGAGAGAACAGTCTAATCTTATCTGGATAGGAAGATAACGTGATCAAGGGTGATGAACATTTCTGAGAAGCAGACCAGACCAGCTGTTACGAAAAAAATCATGGAGAAGAGAAGTTTCAAGAAACCCTGCACAGGCAGGCTGGACTCAAAGGAGGCCAGGGTATGGGCAAAATAGGTCTTTGGTCTTAATTCTTCAACTAATAGGAAATCCTTGAAAGTTTCTCCTCAGTAAAGTGATAAAAATTTTGATGATTTTGTTGTGGCTGTTTGTTTTTGTTTTCTTTTGTTTTAATGAAAAGATTTGAAGAAAATTAATCAGATAAAAGTCTTCACTGAAGGAGGACCCAAGCCAGTTTGCTCTTCATCTTCTCTTCCCCTGCCTTCCCACTAGGTGGCACCAGAACTCAAAATCAGAACCCCCTAAAACCTTCACTCTTCCAATCTTACTGTAGGATGACTCCTGTAATATTGTGATGTGATGGGAACATATCAAAACATGGTTTCTATTGCCAATTGCTAACCTGACTCTTCATTTACCCTGGGGTATTTTTCAAGCAGTTAACAGTTTTCAGCTTAACTGACTGCAAAGTTCTGAAGACCTTTGGGATCCATGCCCGCTTAGAGAACTGTTCTAGGCCAACATAATGAGCAACCATCCTGCAGAAAATGCTAAAGGCCTGCTGGAAGTTGATACAGTGGAATTCATTCAACCCTTGATGGCTTCAATCACGGAGAGTCTTCTAGTTTTCAAGAGAGGGAGGATTTGCAGATGACTGTTAAATTACCTCCTTGACATGAAACTCCAGTTGGAATGTGGAAGGGGAAGAAAGCCTGAGCCAACTTATTACCTAATTCTTCAGGAAAGAAATGTGAGAACCAAGCAGTCTGGCCCCTCCTTCCTTTCTGAATGCCCTTTTCACTAGTTTATACCACAGAGGACTCCCTCCCTTACGTATTTCTTAAAGAAACTTCTTTTCTACTTTTCTCTTCCTATCACTGCCCCATTATTGTTTATTTTTATTTTTTACTTATCTATTTATTTGACAGTAGGAAGAATGATGCTTTCAATTTGTTGTAAAATTAGTGTCACAAATCTACATTTAAAACAAAAAAAGATCATTCCTGGTCACTTGTAAATATGTATGTAGTGACTAAAATACCAATCAATCAAGATTCTTTTTGTAAACATCTAAGCTTAAGTCCATATGATTCCAAGGCTCAAAAGGCAAATGGAATATCGCCCAAATCTCAGGCAAGCAAGGCACATGGCATTTTTCCCTGAATACTTCAAACTGAAATTCGAGGAGGAAACACAAAGTTAGTTGAAACTATCCCACAAAGGAAGTATTGTTTAAAGGTAAGTAGACTTTTGTCTAAGTACCAAAGTTTCAACTTTCCTAATACGAGATAAAGAAAAAAAAATGCATTCTACTTAATTTTGTGTTCTTAAAATTTCTGTTACAATTTAATCCAAATTGCTGCTTCTAAAATAGACAGTAGGAAAAAAAAAGAGGTTAATATAGATGATAGACTTATGGATTGGATAAATAATTAATGGCCTGGAGTAATTAGCTGGAAGATGCTTAATCATTAATTTATCTGAGTCATTGAAAGTAGTCAAGCCTATCCACAAAATGTTACACTAATTATGAGTATATATATTTTTGTCAAGATGGAAATTAATATATGATAAAAACTAGCACTTCAAAAAATTAAAATATGGAACAAGTCTATTTTGTCTACTTTTTGTTTATTAAAGATAAACAAGATTTCACTTTCCTTTGTTTTACCTATTAAGATAAAAGTTGTATAAATTCCATTATTATATATAACCAAGAAGCCAAATTAGGAAGGCAAAGTAGTTGACTCATTTTGTCTTTCTTTAGGAACTTCTTCTATGTAAGGGGAAAAAAAACGCAAAACTCAAAACACTTCATTATTAAAGTATCTGGTGGACAATTAGTGTTCTCTCGGAGGATTTAAGTGGGGGGGAAAGATCCTTTAACATAATGCTAAGTTTTGCAATTTGTGGCTGTATTCTTCAATGTGGTATTTTCCAATACGATTTTATTACAGGCTCTAAATTATACTTTCACAGGAAAGGTCTGTCTTTAAACTTTTAGGTCAGAATTGTTCAGATCTTTTCACACTGAATCAATCAGGTTTAAAGCTGGCAAAATCCTTGGTAGCCTTGTAAATCTTTCAAAAGATGTTTTCCAATTACCCTTCATGGGCCACAGGATTCTACACTGTGGCTCTTTCCTTCTCTGGGAGGAATTAAGTGCTCATGAGAGGTTAGAAACCAATGGAGTTGAAAAGCAAGGCCCTGTATCTTCCCTCCAGTTCACATGCTGTAGATCTATCTGCAGCTACTAATACATCCTAAGATCTGCGCAGACATTCTGACCTAGATAGTGGTCCCGGCATCATTGAAGTATTAGTTGTTTTAAATTAGTGAAAGATATTAAGATAGCAGTAGAATGGTTCCTATAGCAAAAACTTATTTTGGACTTGTATTAAAAATTTTGCATAAACATAATTTCCAAATGGAAAACAAAGAGACCACTATTACTTCATTATTTTTTCAAGAAAAACAAATTTTTAGGAAAGGTCAGTAAACACACAGGAGACTAAAAAAGGAAATAACGAAGAAGATAAATATACTTCTTGGTCTGGATTTTAATCTTCTAAAAATTGTGCTTATTTTCCATTTATAAAATATATTAATATCTGTTACTTCTTCCTCCTCTAGGTTACAGATATAGAATACTAATAAAAGACTAAGGAGATATTCAATTTATAAATGAGCCTATTTCATACCACTTGATTTCAAGAGGAAAAATAATCATGGGCAGAATCATTTTGAAATAATTTTTCAAGGGAAAATGTGAACATGTATATAGATTTCTTCACAGAAGTTTGGAAAGTACTGCTGTCCTTTGTGATGCAAAAGTGGAGTGAAGGTTATGGGATTCCAGTTGCACCTTTGACCTCTGGGCCTCTTGAGTCATTCATGGGTTATGACCTTTGACCTTTGGCAAATCATGACCCTGTCTGTTTTGCTTGATTTTTACTACCTACAGTGAAAGGTTTTTTTTTTCTCCTCTGGAACACATAAGCAGAAGTCACATAAATGTTTGAATAGTTTGTAGGCCAACACTCAGACCTAGGGAAGATAAGAATAAAAAGTAAATAAATAAACATGAAGGAAAATATTCTAACATTTAAAGTTTCCTGTAGTAGAATAGACTGATTTCAAAGCCTATATTGTGAACACTTGGCCACATGTTCCTTCTTTTAAAACTTTGCTTTCATTGATCTAAAATGTGTCATAGCGAGAGAAGGGACAGTCGGTCCTTTATAAACTGGACTTCCAATACTTTACACTCTAATCATTAAAAATTGCAGACCTTTCACAGCTGCATGTTCATAAGCATCTCCTGGTAGCCACTGTCTAGATTGCTTCCATCTCTAAGAAATGCAATTCCTCTTATCAGAATTGTGAGTTAAAGGGGAATATGTGTAAACAGTGGGCATTAAAATGTCCTGTTAGAGCCAAATCAAGTACAGATAAGGAAGCCAGCAAATTCATAATTGTACAGCTGCACGTAGAAGCCCTCTGGATTCACTGCTCAGATGCTTAATACACACAGTTCCAAGCTCCAAATCTCATTATGATATCAACTGGGAAGAACTGTCTTTATACACACTGCTGATCAGTAACAAATGACTTTGAGTTTTCACAAGTTTTCCTTTCTAATACTCAAGTTGACTTGTTTGCTTGCTTAGTTGAAGCAAATACTAAGTGGAAAAATGAAGTTGAAAAATATAGATTAAATAGAAGTGTCCAGAAGGTATGATATAGCAAAAAATGATATATATTTTTCCACCAGCATGAGAATGAATAGAGTCTTTGGAATTGTGATACTCCAGGATTTAGTTAAGAAATACTTTTGTTTCTGAGCCAGCATAGAGAGTCACTCTTTTTTCCATCAAGATAGAAGTATTTTTAATGCTTGTTTTGGGCACAATTTTATCTTAGATATTTCCATTGGCATTTTAACATTCATTTATTATTCCTGATGATTTTTCTTTCTCTGAGGTTTAAAAAAGTATTTGATAATTTGAAAATGTAGAGAAAATTGGCACATTGATGAAGTTAGTTCTAGGGGAGCCAACATACCTTGTTCAATCAGAATTTAGAAAGAGAATTAAGAGCTTGCCAAACTCTCAAGTCTAGTTAAATCCTTTGCAACAGAGATTTTTCAGTGTTTTTTTATTTGTTCTAAAGAGATATTTTTAAAATATCTTTTAAAAATATTATACAAATCTGATTATAGAAGTATATCTATAATTTATAATTTCTATAATAGAAAGAATGAGATTTTGAAAAAAGTTCAACAGTTAAAACCTTACCTTTCTTGAGTTAAAGGTAGGTGCGTTGCCTTGGCTGAAAAACTATTGATAAGAAGAGTACAAGAGAGTTCCTGGCCCATCTGGATGTACTTTTTCTTAATTTTCATATCCACCACCACAATATCAAAATCTTTCCACGGTAGTCAAAATTGTCTCCCTCAGATGAGCTAAAGTGTCCTGTGACTTCAAATTAGAACTCTCAGAATTTACCTTTCATTACTTTTTTGATGGAATATTCATGACATCATATAGAGCTAGGCTTTACTAATATCTAGCCATATGAAAATTTGGGGGAATTTGTTGCATTGTTACCTGAAAGTATTTTTAGATCTGAAAGTTGAAATGCTAGAAAATATCAGACCCTTAATTCCATGGAAAGCTGTAACATATCATTTGAATGAGATAACTGAACAATGAACATTATCCATGTTTTGATTTTTTTCCCCAATGTTAAATCATTTGAATGATGTCCTTGACTTTCTCCTTCACCTGAGGGATGGAGTTCACAGTTTTAATAGCCATGATTTGAAAAAAAAATAGTGTGAAAGATAGCAAACACATTTTACTTGGTTTTACAACTAACATTAACAGTCATTTTAAGATCCCTTTGATCTCAATGCATCTACTCTGGGGCTTCCTCCAGAGCAAGATAGTTTAGAAATAACATTACTCACTCTCACTGCCTGCCCTTCCCTTTACCCCACCCAACCCCAGTCCTGCTTGACATATCTCTATGGATGTCCATTCCCATGGACTAGAGGTTCTCAACTATGGGGTAATACTCAGTTGCAGGACTGTCTTTTTGCATCTGAAGAGACTTAGCCTATGCCAGTGACATCATCCCCAGTGATGGCAACCTAAAATGTCTAGAGACATTGCCAAGCATACCCAGGAAGGAGAAATTGCCCCGAGGGAAAACTACCAAAGCATAGATTAAATCCTCAGGAAGGATTTAATGTGTTTTTGTACCTATAAAAATCTGTATGGGGGTGTGGGCTGGGTAGAGCACTCGCTTTGAGTGTGCAAGCCCCTGGGTTCGATCCTCAGCACCACATAAAAATAAATAAATAAATAAATAAAGGTATTGTATCCAACTACAACTACAAAAAATAAGTATCATTTTTTTAAAAAAAAATCTGTATTAGGGTTCTCCAGAGAAACTGAACCATTGGACGTTCATATAGAGAGAGAGGAAGGAATTTAGTATAAAAGATTGGCTTATGCAATCAGGGTGGCTGGTGAGTCCAAATCTGCAGTGGAGGCAGCAAGCTAGAGGCCAAGCTAGAGGACAGCTTATGGTGAAGAGAAAGTCGGCTGAGGAATCCACCTTCCTCCATGGTTCCTTCTTGCCTTCCTTAAGTTCCTTGAATGTACCCTCTTTCCCTCCATAGGTCACATGATCTTCCCAAAGCCCTGTGATTTTCCCATCACACCCTGTTGTTAGTCAACTAACTTCTCCTTTCATTTCATTTTTGCAATCAGGAATTCTTCCCAACCTCCCCTATTGGAGTAGCTGAAGTCTCCCTATTATTTGCTTTTATAGTACTTTCTCGTCTTCTTCAAAGCACTATCACTATAAAGTCCTTGGGTCTATTAATTTTATAATATTCTGTGCCCCCAGTACCTAGCTTATAGTAAGCATTCATCTAATATTTATTGACTGACTGAAAAAAATGAATTAACATTTAGCCAAAATATAGTCTCCTTGCTTAGAGGAATGCTGACTTACTGACAAAGGTTTTGATGTCTAAATCACAACTTCCATGCCATGAATATTAGAAAGTCAATGCTGAAGAGTTGGCAAGTTTTGTCAACTGTTGATGGACTGTGGGAAAAATTACTGATGCCCTGGACCATTGCCATTATTTCTTATCCAAGCTTCTTGAATACCACAGAAAGCATCACATCACCTATTGACACATAAAATGCCTAACAGTATGTAATCTAAAGATTTACGGAAAGGTAAGTAGGTTATCTATTCCATTTATTGCCTGTGAGCTCTAAATTCGCCCTCCCATGTCTTCTTTTGTAAGACTGGAGTTGAAACCCTGAAGGATGTATCCTGTGCCAACTGGTACCATGTTAAGCTTTGTCAGTAGAAGGTATCAAAGGAGGATCAGCGCCAGAGGAAAAGACTTCTCCTGAGTTGGGTGTTTGATCTCTTCTTGCACCTGGAGTGTGGCTGTTGTGAACAGTCCAGGGATGCATGCCCTCCAGAAAGCTTTGCTGGGACCCCAGTAGAAAGATTTCTGCATGCCAGTTCCTCTCTCCAGCCTCAGGCAATGGAGGCAGTGGGCCAGATTTATCCTGGGGCACAGTGAACTTCCCTGCTAGCCAGAAGGTTCAGCAGCAACTTCTCTGCTGAAGTCTACATCTCAGCATTGCCAGGGATGCCCCTTTCCAAGTGTCTCCCTTCCTTGGGTACTGTCCTTCAGAACCCTTTTATCTCATAGTGGCTACTCCCTGCTGTTAGTTAATAATTATTTCTATTAAATATTCCCTGTTATATCAATGGTGTGAATTCTGTTTCCTTCCTGGACTCCGTCTGGTACTGTAGATCAATGAGTAAGAAGTTTGAATACATACACCCAAACACACCTACACAGTCTTATTTCAAGAATATTCTGCCTTTCTAAGCTGAAAAATGTTAGCAAACAGTTTAAAAAAAAAAAAAAAAAAAACCTACTGTAATGATCAGAATCCAAGAAATAGAATTTTACCACTGGATGGAGCCCAAGAGGTCAGCCAGCCCTGGTTTTCCAGGGGAAGCATCTCAGTGGCTAAGAGGTTAAGTGACTTCCTTTACTGAGGACAGAATGGACTTAGGTCCCCAGAGGCATGCTGTGAGGCATCTCCTTGATGAAATACCCTGCCCCCACCCCAAAAGGACCCTATGCAGGAGTTTTACCAGATGACTCACTGGCTTTTTTATGAGGCCCCCCGGGAGGGAGAAATTTTTCCCAAGTACACGTTTCAGGAATAATTGTGCTTTTATCTGAACTACTGCTCTGGATTTATCTCATGGACACTGCGAAACGTTTCCCACATATGGTGGCTAGAAAGCGCTGAGGCTGTCTCCCAGCAAGGAGCAGTGCACTGTGACATTCACGCCTTCTGCACCCCTGTGCCTCTGGTTTAGTTCATCTCAGTTGCTTTCTATGCTGCTTTTTCCCTTTGCCTCAACTGTCTCACATGTTTATTATCATGCTATAGTGCATCAGACACGTTAAAACATCCATTTAGGAAGATACTGACTATACACCAACTATCAAGGTACAAAGCTTTAAATCTTGTGCCCACTTTAGGATTTTCTCAGTAGTGTTTGCTTTCAATGACAAAGAATTTAAGGGGGTGGGGTCTAACTCAGTGGTAGAGTGCATGCCAGGTCCTGAGTTCAATTTCTAGCACACACACACACATACACACACACACACAAATAACTTAAATACTCTTGAGAATGAGTGAACCTCAGAAACTGAAGAACAGTTTGATAAATATTTCAAAATTTCCCTGCTGCTTGAGTACCTAAATAATATATTTAATAAATTTCTAACTTTATATCCATATCGTAAACATTCTTAGCCTGGGCTTTATTGACTTTTAAATATTTTTTTAATGAAAAAGTCATCCAAATTAATAAAGTTTGACTGTAACAAAGCTGGCCAGAGGCTCAAAAATGAGAAACTTGGTTTTCTTACTACTTTACTGAATTATAGTGTCAAAATTTGGCTTTTTCCAAAGATAGCCATTTCACAATATTCCTCAAAAAGTAGGGGGAAAAAATCTGTCCTTTCTCATTACTTCTGCACTCCTAACATTTTTGCTTGCTGAATAAGCAGTTTCTTTTCTGTGTCTCTCTAGGATGGCAAGAGATGGTTGTTCCAAACCATATTCACACCTGGATTCCCTCATGTTTCCACGCATCTGCAGTTGGACTTCTGCAGTTATCATTTATCATGCCAGTGACTCATGTTTCACAGGGGCAAAATAAATATTTGCTGAATAAATCCTTCGAGCTGCTACCAAAAATAGGAGATATTGGAAACAAAGATGCAAACATAGAAAATAAACTAACAGCAGCTGTGGAAATAAATAAACTGTATGATATTCCCACTTTTCTTTTCATAATTCCAAGTAAGATTGTTTTTGTTTCTCTGTACTAAAGCTGAAAAACAATATATTCTGACTTCCTCTGATTTCAAAGAATCAATACTTTTGTTTTGCTTCGTATTCTTGCTTCAGAGGAAATGTGACACTTTTTATCAGTGGTAAGTATTTGTTCTTTTCTTAAGCACCTATCTGAGAATTTGGCAAAGTATTTAAGCAAATAGACCTGAAAGCCATAGTTCAGAACCCAGGAAGCCTTGGGTGAGATGAAGTCACGCAAACACACCTATCTAATGGGGGTAAATTCTGAAAAATGAGCCCCAGAAACAAATAAGGAAGAGGCTAAAAGGAAACCCCCCGGAGCCAAGGCCTCTGCTCTCCTACTCCTGTGATAAGATGCAGTCTTTCCTTAGTCTCTTATTTAACACTGAGCATGATTCATGGACAAGAAGCCATTGTCCTTTAAACCACCACATTTTCCATCTATTACAGAAAATCTAAGATCAATTTTCTATCTAATTCAATTGGATTATTGAGTTATTGCCCTTCACGCCTTCAACATATTCTTGTGCCTGTTTCTATCACGCAGGTCTTTGATCTTCAGTCATAAAGTCTGTGTTTCTTTTAGGTCCCTTCTGGGATGACTAGTTCAACTGAATCAATGAGTAACGGACCCTTGTCTTTGGACACCCTTAGTTTCTTTCTTTTTTTTTTTTCATGCAACTGAGCATACAGAAATCAAAACAGAGGAATTACCAAAGACATATTTCAAATACCCATGTCCTATTGGTTGATATTTATTAAAACAGGCGACATGATTTTCAAATACATATACAAATCTTAAGAGTGAACTGTTATTTAAAGTCTTAACAGGAAAATAGGTTTATGTTTTCTGGCATCATCCAATCGTGAAAATTTCTGAAGAGTACTTTGAAAGACATTCTAATAAAAACAGTCTCTGCCTGAAGTTTGTAAATCTTTGATTAAGGAAAGCATAGACATTGTTAAGTGTCCATCTGCCTGACATTCTGATGGGACACCGGGTCTTAACAGGCTGTAGTACAGTAAACACAGGGCTATCCGGGTACCGAGCACTGACAGGATCCCTGGGCACCAAGGGGATCTTATATTGGAATGCACTGCAGTGACATCTGCTCTTGCCCTGTGCAGTCAGCTCACTTATGATAAGATATGGAGTCTTTGGGTAATTACATCAGACCCTAATCTAACCACGAGAGATTTGCTGCTGGCACTAGCAGTGGCACCCAGCAGTACGCCATAGCTGAGCTTCCTCTGGACAACCACAAAATTTCCTCAAAGGCTGTTTGCAGGACAATGTGAGCAAGTAAATAGGAAGAGAAGCATGGCTTGCACAGTACTTAGTAGCATAAATATGGCAATTCCTGTTGCTATTTTCGACTTTCAGAATTACAACGGCAGTAAGGCAGCATGGGGAAGACTATGGCTTTAGCATGCTTAGTTTTGGGGTGAAGGTAGAGATAAGGGTTGGTGCAGCTAAAAATAAGTGATTTGGTTGCCATGGTTTCCTTCTTTATAAATTCTTTTCAACATGAATTGCTGTTGTTGTGTTTAATTTTAGATTCATGCAGATTTTCGACAAATAAAAATTCCTATACATCTGAGAAATGGTTTTTTAAAAGCTGTGGGGAAAGGTTTTTGGCAGTCTGGTTCAAACATTTCTGAGCAAAATAACCTGCAGGGTGCTGGCTTTTAGACAACTACCAAAGGAGAGTGCGTAAAGAGAAAGGGAACGTAAGAACATGTAAGACTGCATTTAACCTTCTGATTAAAACACAAGTCCTTATTATCACAACATTTAAGAGCATGTTAGGTGTCAAAGACTGCCTCTCAGAAGCAGAGCAAGACAGGTGTCCCTCCTACATAGGAACTCTCTTGACAACCACCCTTAAAGGATTTTAGGTACCAAACATTAATTTAGATAAATATGCATTTGCTAATATCAAAGGCTTTAATTGTGTTCTCAAAACCTGTCATGTTCCCTCAAATACAATTCAATTTTCTTGACTAGGGTGTCAGGATGACTAATTTACACCTACTCTAAAATATGTATGTTTCACTTCTTAAAATTCAATAAAGGATATTTCAAATAGGGAAAGCACAAATGGAAAACAGGAGTTGACTTTACTAAAGGAATTCTTTTTCCTTATGCACTTATTATAGGATTGTTTAAATGGTAAACTCCCCTACCACAATGAAAATATTTGTGTTTTTTTTAAAGAAAGAATTAAATTGCTCATGAAGAAATGCATCATAGACCGTCACTATGTCAACAACAGACACACAGAACTGTTAGGAAATGCTTCTTCCTAAGTATATTAAATGGTTAAAATGTTCCTAATATTTTAAATTTTGTTTGTTGCTGTTTGTTTTCTTTTCCTAAGGAATTTGAGGTTAATCTTAACCCATTAAGTCCCAAGTTTTCAACTCTGCAAATATTTCAGTGAAACTGATGCAGAGGCATTAAAATAAGATGGAAATCATGATCTAGAGCTCAGATATCATTTATATATTTTCATATATCCTTATGTATGAAATATATTTTTCAAATGGCCAAATCATTCACCTATTTTCTCAAAACAACAGACTTCTAAAGACAAAATATGTCAAAGTTACCCTAAGTAGTATATTTGTTGCTCAACTCAAGTTTTTATAGGTATTTCTCATTTTGGATGATGGGACATAATGGGTTAAGAATATAGGGAAATGAAAAAGATAAAAAGTTAAAATGCCTGAATTTAAGACAGAAAGAGATGTAATTGTTTATAAATGAAAGGAAATGAGTGAGCCATATTTGTCTTTATAAGCTTATTTTCTAATTCTGTTACTCTGATTGATCATACTAATTAATCAATTATTTATTAATTGTGCATTTAGTGTTTTAGTTATACTAATTCTATTTTTACTAACAAAAAACTCTGAAAGCTTAGGAAGTAAAAAGGGATTCTCTCACTATTTTAGTTTAATTAAAATTGAATCAGAAGTTAGTAATGTTTCTTTTCATGCATCCTAAATTTAAATTGACACATAAAAATTTTGGAGGATTTTCTGTGTATGTGTGTTTGCGTATACACGGATATGTGCTTTGAGGGGGAGCAGGAGATTTAATTAAAATATTTCAACTAATTCCACAGACATTGCCCAAGTTGATGAGATAATTATGTCTATCAATTTCCACTTCTATCTGTGGGTGAAAGGGGATTGCATCATGCTCTATAATATTTCCATTATAATTGTTTCTATTATAATTCTTGTAATATTTTTTTTATTTATTTATTTATTTTAATTTCTTTTTTTTATTGGTTGTTCAAAACATTACAAAGCTCATGACATATCATATTTCATACATTTGATTCAAGTGGGTTATGAACTCCCATTTTTTACCCGTATATAAAAATCAGACAAATAATTGTGCGAATTCAGGTAGTTTGAAATATTCATGAATGGACCAGGAATGCTCCTGAGAATGGGCTTTATCAACTGTCTGCTCTTTCTACAGGTGTGTCTGAGGCCAGGGACATTCTTTCCTGATTTATTCTCAGATTTGCTGCTGGCTGACTTGGAAGAACAGCTGGCCTAATTTTCCTTGACGCAACTTGATTCTGCCTTGAAGCTAAAAATTTCATGGGCCTCTGGACTGAGGCACAACCCCAGAGATTCTGTGGCTATTAAATCATTTGGCTTTGCTATGAAAACATAAGATGCATACTTTTGACCATGACAGACTAGCATAGACCATGTTTCCAACCAAGAACAACTAGAAAACCTTGACAGAACACTAAGAATCCACTTAAAAGTTTTGAAGAGCTATTAGGGCAACCCAGACTTAAAGGAGCCAGGATTCCAAATAGTAGGAAAATTCATTGAGATGAGCTTCACATTTGATGCCACGTTTCTCCTTCTACTCTCTGCCCTTCGTAAACAGCATAGAAATGTAGGTTGAGAAGTTTAGGATTATGTGGACATGAGGAATCAGACTGGGAAGAAGTTTCTGCAAACTCATAAAACTGAAGTTTAGGCCCTAAGGGGCCACTTTCCTAAAAAGTAGGCAAGCATGGAGGAGAACTAATCTGAGACCGGACCTGGAGACAAAATAGATGACAGAAGCAGATACAGAGGTGTTAGAGATAATGGATGCGGTCCTGATGCACAGACTGTACAGTAGCTCAAGAAAATATTGGGCAAATGCAAAATATCATTTAAAAGCTGGAATCTGTTCTAAGAGGGAATCAAATAAAATCTGTAGGACTAAAAAAATATAATAAGCTGAAATGAAGAATGCAATAGATAGGCATAGTAACACACAGAGGAAAAGATAAGGATCTGACAAACGGGTCCAAAGCGGGAAGGGGAAATGCTCAGCTTAAAGTTTAGAGAAAACAAAACTTGAAGATAGAGAAAAGAGACTAAGAGAAGGTGGGAGGAGCTACCATAGTCTAATAAATGTGCGAGGAGAGTCCCACAGGGGAGAAAACAGCAAGACAGAAAGAAGCAATATTTGAAAAGATAATATCAAGGCAATCTTCAAACACAGAGAAGACACAAGCAACAGACTCAAAAGGCAATATGAACCCCAAGCAGAATAAATACAAAGAAAACCACACCTCTGTATGCTATTAAGTTCTGCTGAAAACAAAAGAACAGATAACCATCAAAGCAGCTAAAGAAAAATCATAAACTTTTCCTTTCAAGGAGCAAAATAATCCCATAGTGAATTTTTCAATAGAAATAAATAAAGACAAGGGCTGGAGATGTAGGACGGTAGAGGCTTGCCTCACACACTGGAGGCCCTGGGTTTGAACCTCAGCACTGCAATAAATAAATGAACCAGAACAATGAAATGATATCTCTCAGGTTAAAACCACAGCAAAAACCCTGCTAACTTAGAAATGGATATCAAGTGATAGCAGTCTTCTAAAATAAAGATATCTCTAGACAAAATAAAACTGCAGCAAATTGCTGCCAATACACTTAAATCCAATATTAAAATAAGTTTTAAGCAAAAGGAAAATTATAACAAATGTGAGCACAGAAATGCCACAAAGAATAAAACACAATGAAATCTTAAGTGTGTGGATAAATATAAATAGATATTGACTGAAAGCTATTATCATTTCACCTTAACATAATTTAACATAAAATAAAATAATAATAAGTTATAGAATTAAAATGCATGAGAAATGTAATACAAAACCAAAGATGACAATAAGTAGTGGTAAAGTGGCCTAAGATCCTTATATGATCTGAGAAGTGATAAACATACAATTGACATAACACCCTTACAGGTCACAGATACACATTATGATTTCTAATGTGATTATTTAATGTGTAACTAAAAAGTTAAGGAAGGAAAAGGAAAATTTTTTTAAATTTCATAGAATTCAAGGGATACAAAAAATCCCACATGAAAAAGAGGCAGAGTAATAGAACACAAAAGAATAAGAATGCAGATTTAATGTCAAATATATTGGTGATTATATTACATATAAACAAACTCCTAGAATTGTAAATCCTTAGTTCAATGG